AAGGCCCTGTCTCAAAAAAAATGTGTGTGTGTGCATGTGTGTGTTGGTGGCGGTGTGTGTATGTGTGTGTTGAAAATCAGCCATTTCTCACAGCCCCCACAGCAAGCTACCCTGCTCCAAGAACTACTACCACCTGGATGCCTCACTCTGCAGGCCCCAGCCCTGCTGAAATTGCTGCTGCTAGCAGAACATGCTATTCTCTCTGCCGTGGATGCTTACCAGGTCCACCCATTCCCAAATGATAACAATTCACAGCTGCTCCTTCTCCAAAAAATTATGCTGAGCCGACGAGAGTTACCTTGCCTGGGAGGTTATACCCCCATCCTAGAGATGGACACCGACAGCCCCTGACTGATAGAGGAGTACAAAAGTCTGGCCCCCTTGCTTCAAAAGCAGATGACTTTGCGGAGTGATTCATGCTCCACAGCCCACCACTATGGATGAGACCAAGCCCGGACTTGGCCTTGCTCAGCTCCTTCCCCTTCCCCATCCTAATTTACTTCCCCCTCTCCAGTTTTTTTTCTAAAGTGTATTCTCTCAATAAATCATGAGAACATGAACCCCTTCTCAGGCTCAGAGAACCCAACCCAAGGCAGCTGGTTTCCAGAAGTGGTTCTAAGAAGCAGATCCAAGCATGGGATTCTGGGATGGGCCACTCACAGGCCTGGTGGAAGGTGGAGAACTGGGCATCCAGAGCAGGGGGCAGCTGCACAGCTGTTGAGACTTTCACCTGTGCTGCCTGACATGGGGCGCAGGTGGGAGGTGCACAGATTCATGCAGTACCTCTGGAGTTTGAGAAACACCAGAGAACCTCTAGAAAAATGCCACTGCACTCTAATCTGGGCAACACACTAAGACCCTGTCTCAAATATATATATATATATGTGTTGGGGGGTGTGGTGTGTGTATGCATGTGTTGAAAACCAACTATTTCTCACTTGAACTCCTGAACACGGATGCTTTGAAGAGAGAAAATGACATGCTCAGGACAATTAGGCATCAGTGCAAAGCAATTATGAGAGGTAGACAGCTTCTTCAACAGCATTTAAAGAGACCCTCATCTCTTGCAATTAATTGGACGAAAGACCCAGATGAGGTCTGGACACAGAACATAATTATCAGAGTAGTAGAACTTCAGAGAAAGTTCCCTCCTCCACCTGACAATTATATACCAAGTCAAAGTCCTGATAGAAAGAAGTGAGACCCTGAAATCTGAGAGAGATATCTATGTGGGGTACACTTGAACTCCTGAATCCCCAATCTTCCTGGACTCCCTGGGCCTGCAGAAACGCTCACCCCTCCTTGCTGGAAGAATCCTCCCCATCCTCTGCCTTGATTTAAGTTTGTATAGAAGCCTCAGTGAGGCAAGTTCCTTAGAGCACAATGCTAGCCCTCTTCACAAGGTGTCCCTGACTCCTTTCCTCACCACCAGAGCCATAACCAGGACCAATTCACAGCCTGGTTTCACTGGGCAAGTGCTTGACCTACTAAGGGAAGACAGGGATTATGCAGCAAAGGAGCTATAAGACCTGGCTAACGGGAAACAGCAGAAACCACGAGAGCATATATGGAAGTGGATGCTGAAGGTGTTGAATCAAGAGGAGAAACTGAATATAAATCTGGATAACAGAAATTTTGTTGATAAAGGGGCACACCTCATATCACAGGATTTATCACCCCGGCAATGACTGCAGGAAATGATTCTAAGATGCAGCTGGGATGGCTTTTGGAAGCTGCCACATAGATGTGAGAGTAGTCCAAAGACTCTTATACTACCATATAATGCCACATGGCCCTCAAAATCTAAAATATTTACTTTCTGGCTTTCTACAGAAAAAGGTTGCTGACCCCTGATATACGGTGTTGATCAATAACAACATGATGTCCCCAGGATTCAACAAGAGTATTGTTTAATCTACAGAATCAAAAGAGATGAAGATTCAATGCCATCCCTATCATAGTCCCAATGGCTTTTTTTTTTTTTTTTTTTTCAGAAATGGAAAAGTCAATCCTCTAATTCTTGTAGAATTACAAGGAGTTTAAAGTAGTCAAAACAATCTTGGAAAAGAAGAATATGTACTCAAAACATCCTAGTCACATGAGTATACATTCAAAGCAGAATCACTAAGTAGTTTGCACTACGTTTCTAATATGAGTGTAAGTGGATATCAAAAAAAAGACAAATGCTGTTCAGGGAAAAAAGTTGGTAAGCCAGAGGTTAAACAAAAATAAAATTGCTTTATATGAAAGAAAGAAAGAGCGAGAGTGAGAGAGAAAGAAAAGAAAGAAAGAAAGAGAAGAACAGAACAGAACAAAGTTGGAGAACTCAAACTTCCGAATTTCAAAACTTACTGCAAAGTTACGGTAATCAAAACAATGTGGTACTATCATAATGATAGACATATAGACCAATGGAACAGAATTGAGAGTCCAAAAAATAGACCCATACATCCAAAGCCCATTGATCTTCAAAAAGGGTGCCAAGACCATTCAATAAAAAAAGGATAGTCTCTTCAAAAAAAGATGCTGGAACAACTGGATATACACATGCAAAAGAATGAAGTTGGACACCTACCTCAAACAATATATAAAAATCAGCTCAAACAAATTAACAGCTTAAATATAAGAAACAAAATTATAAATTTCTTAAAAGAAGACATGGGGCAAATCTTTATTACCTTACATCAGGCAATAGATTCTTAGACATGACACCAAAGACAAAAGCAACAAAATCTTCATCAAAATTAAAACTGTTTTTGTAACCAAGTACATTATCAATAAGGTGAAAAGACAACCCACACCATGGGAAAAAAATATTTGCATATATATGATAAGAGTCCAGTATCCAAAATATACATAAATAACTCTTAGAAACCAATAGAAGACAACCCAATTTTTTTAAATGGGCAAAGGGCTTGAATCAACATTTTTTTAAAGAAAATATGCAAATGGCCAATAAACACATGAAAAAGATGCTCAACATCATTAGTCATTTGGGATATGCAAATCAAACCCACAGTGAGGTACCACTTCACACCCACAGGATGACTATAATCAAAAAATCAAAAAGTGTTGGCAAGGATGTGGAGAAGCTGCAACTCTTGCACATTGTTGGTGAGAATGTAAAATGGTTCGACCACTGTGGAAAACAGTTTGGCATTTTCTGAAAAAGTTAAACATCGAATTGCCATATGACCCTACAATTCCACCCCTAGATATATACCCAAAATAATTGAAAATAGGTACCAAACAAGTATAGGTACACGTATGTTCATAATAGCACTACTCACAGTAGCCAAAGGTGAAAGCAGACCAAATGTCCATCAATGAATGGATAAGCTGTGATGTTTATAGATGAAAAAATATCCAGATAAATACACACACAATGAAATCTTATTCAGCTATAAAAATGAAGTACTGATACATGATACAACATGGATAAACCTTGAAACATTATGCTAAGTGAAAGAAGCCAGACATAAAAGGTCCTATCTTTTATGATACCATTCATATAAAATATCTACAATAGATAAATTCAGAGAGACAATGCAGATTGGTAGTTGCTAGGGGCTGAAGTGGAGAGGAAAACTGCTTAATAGATGAGGGGTTTTACTTTGGAGTGATGGAAGTGTTTTGGAATTAGTGGTAATATTCGTACAACATTGTGACTGTACTAAATGCCACTGAGTTGTTCACATTAAAATGCTTAATTTCATGTTACTTGAATTTTGCCTCAATAAATTATTAAAAGAAAGATGAAGAATGGATGAGCGAGAGGCTGATTAGAACACCGGCAGACTATGGCCCATGGGGGACCCGGAGGACATGCCATATTCCCATTGGATAAGGACTACACTAGTGAGGGAACAGCGACACTGCGAATAGGCTCAGTACTGCCTGTCCTCAGTGGGCTTGGACAGAGTTGGAGATGTTGCTACAGAACTGGGATCCCTAGTGGCAATGGGGGTGCTAAACTTATGATGTAGCAGAGACATGGTGGTGGCACTTGACTTTCAAAACCAAAGTCAGTGGAATTACCATGTGTGCATCTAAATTGGAATGTCATTTAGGAAAATGAGGCCCTGACTGGCAGATATCTATGGCAGATACCAGCAAACTACAGCCTGCAGGCCTAATTCTGCTCATAATCTGTTTCTAGAAATAATTTTTTTTTTTTTTTTTTTTAAGAAACGGGGTTTCACCGTGTTGCCCAGGCTGGTCTCGAACTCCTGAGCTCAGGCTATCTGCCCACCTTAGCCTCCCAAAGCACTGGGATTATAGGCGTGAGCCACAGCACCCAGCTTTCTAGAAACAAATGTGTATTGAACACAGTCACGCCCGTTTGTTGCATATTATTTATGGCCACTTTTGTACTACAATGACAGAGTTGAGTAATTGCAAAAGTGACTCTAGGACCTGCAAAGCCTAAAATATTTACTATCTGGCCCTTTACAGAAGTTGCTTGCTGACCTCTAATTGACGAAAATGGCTAACAAAACATGATGTTCTCAGGATCCAACCAGGGTATCATTTAATATATAGAGTCAAAAGAGTTCAAGAGTGAATGAGCAGAAGACTGAGATTAGAAACTCCATTGGAAAGTCATGGTCCCGTGCCCAGTTTCCAGATCTAAATCACCTCCGACATCCTGAGCTCATCAACTGAAAAAGAAGATAGGTCCCCATAAGAAAGGCCCCTGTGACGCTACAGTAAATATGTACAGTAGTTATTTCCCAATTGGACCTGTGGCCATTAACTGAGAAGAAAGGGTAATTACAATGGGGAAATGGAAAATCCAGACCTTTTGAGGGAAGTTAGATGCAGGATCTAAGCTGGTACCAAGACACTGAGACCCAAAACCCCACCATGGTTCCTACATGGTAGTAGAGGCATATGGGGTCAGGTGAAAAATGGAGTCCTGGCCCAGGAACTGCAAGATAATTTTCAGTTCCGGAATATATGATTGCAATGTATACACTTACCAGTTGGCAGAACCTTACCATAGTTTCTTGGCCAGTAGATTAAGAGCTTCTGTCATACAAAAGGTCAAGTGGAAGCCTCTGAAGCTGCCCCTATCCCTGGGCCAAGAGGGTAAATCAAAAACATTATCACTTCCTAGGGGAATGGCAGAGATTAGTGTCATCTCAAAAACAAAAAATGCAGAGGGGGCTGAGCATGGTGGCTCACACCTGCAATTCCAGGACTTTAGGAGGCAGAGGCAGGCAGATCACCTGAAGTCAGGAGTTTGAGATCATCCTGGCCAATATGGTGAAACCCTGTCTCTACTAAAATTACAAAAATTAGCTGGATATGGTGGTGCGCACCTGTAATCTTTGCTACTCAGGAGACTGAGGCATGAGAATCGCTTAAACCCAGGAGGCAGAGGTTACAATGAGCCAAGATCATGCCACTGCACTTCAGACTGGGCAACAGAGTAAGACCCTGTCTCAAAAACAAACAAAAAACCAATGCAGAGGAGATGGTCCAGATCATATGTCCATTTAACACACTAGCCTGTCCCCTGTCGTGGCAGATGACAGTGAACTACGACAAACTTAACCAGTTAGTAACCCACGTGCAGTTTCTGAGCTGGAGGTGGGAATTACCCAGAGCAACTTAACATAGTTGAAGGTAAGTGGCAGGCAGCTATTGATCTGGCAAATGCTGTCTTTTCCATATCCAGCAGAAAGAAGTATCCAAAATAGTTCACATTCATAGCCATAGGATGAATAGCAGTATTCACTCAGTGCTGCCCTGGGGCTTTGGTAATTCTCCTTGATTCTGTCATAGTATTTCCAAAGGGACCTGGGCCATCTGGCCACAGAGCATCACAAAGGTCATGATGACAGCATGCCTGATGACATCACATAAATCAGGCCTTTCTATCAGGCCATGTGATCCAGCCGGCCCTATGGTATCAGATGTATCAGTAACAAGAGATACAAGACCTCTTGTATCAGTAACAAGAGATACAAGTACTCACAAAAGCAGGAGGTCAACCCTACAAAGAGCCAGAAACCTGCCACAGTTATTATTTTTAGAGGGCTCAAGATCTTGGGGATGCTGAGAATCTTCTTCCAAATAAAGAATGAGCTAGTGTGCCCTGTGCCTTCTGCTACTAAGAAAGAAGCTCAATATACTGGAGGTAGCATATTTCACACTTGGCAATATTGCTCCAACCAATTTGTCCAGTGATTCAAGAGGCTGCTAGTTTTGAGTGAGGCCCAGAGTAAGAAAGTACCAGGCAGCAGATTCAGACCGTAACACAAGCAGCACTTCCACTCGGGCCATGTATTAGTCCAATCTCATACTGCTATAAAGAGCTGCCTGAGACTGGGTAACTTATAAAGAAAAGAGATTTCATTGATTCACAGTTCTGCATGGTTGGCGAGGCCTCAGGAAACTTAAAATCATGGTGGAAAGGGAAGTAGGCATGTCTTACAGGGCAGCAGATGAGAGAGTGAAGGAGGAACTTCTAAACACTTATAAAACCATCATATTGTGAAAACTCACCCACTATCATGAGAACAGCATAAGGGAAACCACCACCATGATCCAATCATCTCCTATCAACATGCGGAGATTACAGGTCTCTCCCTTGACACATGGAGTTTATAATTTAAGATGAGATTTGGGTGGGGACAAAGAGTCAAATTCTATCAGGCCATGTGATCCAGCCGGCCCTATGGTATCAGGGGTATGTGTGGTAGAAAAGGACATCATGTAGAATCTCTGCAAGTCCTAACAGCAGAGTCACAGGTGGACCTATAGGGTTCTACGACAAAACCATGTCATCTGCAGCAGAGATGTATACACACTTCCAAAAACAGCTTTCAGTATGCTACTGGAAAAGACCCTGGTAGAGACAAGAGTATTTGATCATGGGATACCACGTAGCCATGAGACTGAAACTACCCATTATGAACTGGGTACTCTCAGCCCCACTGCTAAGTCAAAAAGCCAGCAATCTATCAAACATAGACGTGGAAGATCCAGGATCAGGTTTAGACAAATGCAGAGGGAAAAAGTAATTGAATAAACAGGTGGCCCATACTCCATGTCACCAAACAGATTTGTGTCCATGTCTTCGCCAGCTCACATATGGTACTATGGAGGTTCCCCATGGCCAGCCAATGGAGAAAGGAAAAGTCCCAGTTTTGTTCCTAGATGTTGGCACAAACTGAAATTGGAAATTTCTGCACTCCAGTCCCACTCAGAGGGGCTCTGAAAGGCAGAAAATGCACCTAGTACCTGAAAGACAGTAGGGAGGGGAAATTCTCACAATGGGAAGAGCTTCATGCAATGCACCTGGTCACTTAGTCATTCACTTTGTGCAAAGAGAGAAGCAGCCTAAGGTAGGAATATACGTTGACTGGTGGGAAGTGGCAGATGGTATAGCCTGTAGGTCAAGAGTCTGAAATTAACAAGACTGGAGATTAGGGACGAGGAAGTCTTGGGTAGAGGTGAGAATGGACACATCATGCTGGGAATATTCTGGACCCCTCTGTGGTGACTGAGCAACCCTAAGCTTCTGGTAGAATTGGCAAAACCCAAGCTATCTGAAATAACAAGAAGAAATTGTTGTTGATTTGTAACCTGTAAATTTTCTTAGAATTTGGTTTCTCTGAAATGAGTTATTTGCTTTGTGAAGCTTGTTACTTACTGTATCAATTATATTTGAAAAAACAAAGGATAATGTGAAATGCTGAGATGCAACTTATAACTTTGGCTCTGTTGAACTGTTCTGGTAGAAACAGGAACTCTGTGAAAGGGACTAACCACACAGCTTGACTGCCGGAGAGAGATGACAACACGTAATAGGCTCCTCATTGCAGAGAGCCTATAAACAGATGTGTAATGGAGAGGCTTATTACCCAGATTCCTTTCCCAGGAAGGGCGTATTGATTAGGTCCCTGGAAAGGGAATGTGATCCTTATGGAGAGCCTATAAACGGACGCATGAGGGATGTCTGTCTCTGTGGTTGAGATAAAGATGTAAAAGTTTTTCTTCTCCCACTGCTCCTCCAGGCCTGCATGGAGGCCCCCTCCTCTTGCAGTTTTTGTGGTCAGGCTGGTTGTCCTGGGTCAGATCCTGTTCCCCCTGTAGCTGTGAGTCCAACATGTTCTTGCTGATAATCATAATCACAAATCTTGCCTAGGTGTATGATTTCTTTGCTGACACACAGAAAGTTATCTTTTCATTGTTCTGTTTTTATAATACCATGTTGTGATTTTTGTGCACCAGTTTTTGCGAATGTATTCTTTTTGTATAATTATCACTGGAACTTTGCATAACCTCACTCCCCCTCCCCTACTGAAAGAGCACAGTAAAAAACTGAGGCTTTCAGGGCAATGTCAGACATCCACAGAGCGGCTTTATGTGGTGTCTCCCCTGGGCCCAGCTTCAAGGAAAACTTTTTCCTTGTCTCTCTTTCTTTTTCACTGACCACTCGATCACTTTAAGAGATCTTAAACCCACATTGATGTATTAGGAGCTGGGCTTGCCAATAACATACACCTTTATATTATATGTTAACACACACCAGAGAGCACCCACTGTGAAAGACTAGACAAGATGACTCAGCCGGGCAGTATCCTCAGCCTCAGTTCCTGGCCACTGTTGTTTTGCACAATGAGCCCATAAACAAAATAATCATGGTGGCAGAGATTGAGTTATGCATGAACTCAACAGCATGGACTTCTCAACAAGATTGATCTAGCTACTACCACTGCTCCTTGTGTTAGCAAATCAGTAGGCACAGGAAGGGTTGCCATAGTGTCGGGGTTTATTGGTCCTGAACATCATAAGGAAGTGTGGCTTGCTGCCACATGAGATCACGGAGAAATGTGTTTGGAATTCAAGTGATCCACATCCACTGGATTGTCCCTTGGTACTCCTGTGCCCTGGTTCCATACATAACCAACCAGGACCTAGTAACTAGGTGCACAGGTCTCTCAGAGGTGATTGACTGGGTCACCCCACTAGGCAAGCCACCCAGCCCAGCAGAAGTGTTAGCCCAGTATATGAAAAATCTAAAGCAGGTAGTAAAAAACGAAGATATTGATCAATGTTGGCCTTGAGAGCAACTACAGCAACAGAAACCATAGCTCACCCCACTAATCTTTCTCTTGTAGGTTTCCTCAGAAACATAACCACAGAGTTCTAGAGAAGCTGAGACCAGATGGAGTGAACTGAATGTGAGAATCAAGAGACCCTGAGAGGTGCACATAGGGGATTGTATTAGATATTGTTGATGCCTTACAGAGCTCCTCTTTTACAAGGAGGGCACCCATCTTCCAACTGCTGTGTGGCTACTAATAGCTCACAGCTGCCCTCTTTCTCCAGCAGCTCTTCCTTAGTTAATGGGAGGTGTTGCTTTGCTCAGAGGTTATACAACTCTTCCCAGAGAATACAGTCCACAGGCAGTGCCTGGTTGACATAGGAGTATAAAAGGTCATTCCTATTCCTAATGGATAAGAGAGGGCTGCAGTCTGAGCTACAATTCAGGGCTCCATTATCCTCATGGATCAGACCTAGGTAAGGCTTCACATTGACCTTTCCTCCTTCACTATCCTGTTTTACTACTTTTATTAAAGGCTTTTTCTACTCGCCCTCCCTCTATAAATCACATGCATCCAAATACCTGCCTCAGGCTCTGCTCTAGGAAACAGTTCCAAGACTTTCTTTTGGCTGTGTTTATGCATCATTGAAGCCTCACCACCTACTATCATGATGCCTAGCACACAAATAAATCAATGCATGTCTGCATGCATGAATAAATGAATGAAATAATGGAAGAAACTGGGGAAACTCAGATATCAAAGGTTTGCCCGAGGTCATCCACGTGATAAGCAGCCAAGCCTTAAACTTGCACCTTTTGAACACAGCCCCGGTAGAGTAATGCCTACATGAATGAATGAATTGCAGAAGGAATTTGTGCTTAAACAAAAGTTGTCCTCAAGAAAGCCTCATTCTAGGCCCCTATGATTGACCAACTACTACAAATGACTCAAAGTCTTGAAAGCTTTAAAAGGGGTATAGAAACCAATATTTTTCAAACCTTTCTATGCATCAGGGAAATAACTTTATTTCATCTTAATAGTAACCCTCTTAGGTAGATTTTATTAACATCCCCATTTTCCAGATGTCCAAAAAATATCCAGTAAAGCAGGGATTTCAAACTCAGATGTCCATAAGAACCAGCTTGCTATGAGGTGAGCAAAGAGGCCCAGTTAGAAGGCATCTGGGAATAGTGGGGACTAAGAGAGTGCATGTCCCATCCAAATGGAGCAGCCTCTGCTCAGCAACAGACAAATGATGGGCAAATCACTCCTGATGATTTGAAGGAATTGAAAATCACAATTTCTATGTGTAGTCTGCTAATTTGTAACTGTTAGTAACTAACCTGAGAAATTACAAAGCACTGTGAGAGCCATATCTGACCTGTGGACCACTGGTTTTCAACCTCAGCAGTCAAGGATTTAAGTATTAAGAGACTTTAGAATAAAAGGCCTTAAGGATTCTATACATACAATATTCTGCCCTTCTGTGTCTCCAAAGCACCTTCACTGCTGTGACCCCAGATCTGTACAGAGAGGCTTTCGCCTCTCCTTTCTCAGATAGGACCCCTCCTTCCCCATAATTTTGGTCCACAAACCTAGAAACATTCTAGGACTTCCAGGATCTAGTTTCACTTTCTCTATGGGAGGGAGGAGTAAGCATTCCAAGCCAGAGAAAAGAGATGTCTAACCCCTGATGTTGTCATCATTCCTTGTGCTTTTTGAGGGATTTCCACATGCCCTGACTTCTTCTGTCCC